TCTCATTTTGTGAATAAAAAGAGTCCTGCAGGCAGTAAAATTGCCTTCTGTTACACAATCAACACATGACACTGTCAGTCTGTCATGGATTTAAGCAGGCTTTCTGTCTGCAGCTGATCATAAACACCTAGCCGTACCCGCAGCGGAAATACTCTGATGTTAACAGTGGTCATGTGTATAAGCCCCAATGATGCATGGATTTAAAGTGGTTGTAAACCTCAAACATGTAATATGTACAAAGCATATCCCCTTTATACTGTGTACTTGTCTCAATCCAGAGCATTTCTGTCTGCTGCCCCATTCCTCTGCTACGTGCATGAGAAACGTTTGTCAGGTTTTCCTGACATCTAGAGAATAAAGGTGACATCAGAGCAGGGGCAGACTGACCATTTGGAAACTCAGGCCCTGTCCGAGGGCCCGGGGTCAGTAGGGGGCCCCATGAGATGCCCCTGGTACCTTTTTCATAGGCTTTTTTGAGTTTGGGCAAGGACACAGGGTCCCCATGATCCCCTATTGCCTGGGGGCCCAATGAGTTGTCAGTCCGCCCCTGCATCAGAGGGAGCTCCCATGAAGGGGGGGGGGTGTTCCTTCCCTCCAATCAGCTCTCAGAGCTCTCCTCAGTGAGCTCTGCAGTGTGTAATTGTGTGTAATTTTATTTCTCTGCCTCCTATTTTCTGACAGCTCCGATAAGCTTTATAAATTTGGCACTTTGAACGGCTTTAGAGAAGAGAAGACTGCAGATATTCAGATACAACCTACTGTATGTGTGAGGATTTGTTTTATCTCTGTGTATCACCTGAGGCCAGTCACTTCACTGGTTATATGTAAGGATTTACAAGCACTTTAATTGCTAATTCCCTGCAGCATTCTTTAGAATTGTTTAATTACATCTCTTGTTACAAAGATGTATGTATTTCTTATGCTGCTCAGCTCCATCTATTGTCCATAGTGCAGTATTTGACTACTGCCAATAATAAAATAACATTTTTTCAGAGAAAATAGCTTAGAGAACATTTTACATAGTTACATAGTTAGTCTGGCTGAAAAAAAGACAAAAGTCCATCCAGTTCAACCATTAAAAAAAAAAAGTTATAATCCTACACCCACAGTTGATCCAGAGGAAGGCAAAAAAACCCCCAGAAAAACATGATCCAATTTGCTCCTGCTGGGAAAAAAAAATCCTTCCTGACCCCGAGAGGCAATCAGATATTCCCTGGATCAACTTTACCTATAAATGTTAGTATCCAGTTATATTCTGTGAAACAATCCAGGCCTTTTTTGAAGCAATCCACTGAGCTGGCCAGAACCAACTCTTGAGGGAGTCTATTCCACATATTCCACAGCTCTCACTGTGAAGAAACCTTTCCGTGTTTGGAGATTAAATTTCTTTTCCTCCAGATGTAAAGAGTGCCCCCTTGTCCTCTGTGATGACCTCAGGGTGAATAGCTCTACACTAAGTTCACTATATGAACCACTATATTTATACATGCTGATCATATCCCCCTTAATCTCCTATTCTCAAGAGAGAATACATTAATTCTCTCTAATCTTTCCTCATAGCTGATCTCCTCCATGCCTTGTATCAGTTTGGTTGCCCTTCTCTGTACTTTTTCCAGTTCTCCAATGTTTTTTTTGTGAATTGGTGCCCAAAACTGAACTGCATATTCCAGATGATGTATTCCTAATGATTTGTACAGGGGTAATATGATATCTCTCTCTCTGGAGTCTATACCTCTTTTAATACAAGAGAGGATTTTGTTCGCTTTAGAAACCGCAGCTTGGCATTGCATGCCATTATTAAGCTTGTGATCTACCAGAACTCCCAGATCCTTCTTCACCATTGATTCCCCCAGTTGTACTTCCTCTAGTATGTATGATGCATGCATATTCTTAGCCCCCAAGTGCATTACCTTACATTTATCAACATTAAACCTCATTAGCCACATAGTTGCCCAATTAAACAGTGCATTTGAGGTCGGCTTGAAAGTCAAAGACATTCTGTAAGGACATTATTCCACTGCACAGCTTGGTGTCATCTACAAAGACTGAAATTGGATTTTTAATCCCAGACCCTATATCGTTTATAAATATAGTAAAAAGTAAGGGTCCCAACACTGAACCTTGGGGTACACCACTGACAACCCTAGACCATTCAGAGTATGAATCATTAACCACTACTCTTTGAATACGATCTTTTAGCCAGTTTCTACCCATTTACATACAGATTTTTCCAAGCCCGTAGACTTAACCTTACACATTAGCCGTGTGTGGGGAACTGTGTCAAACGATTTTGCAAAATACAAGTATACCACGTCCACCGCCACCCCTCTGTGCAAGGTTTTGCTCACCCTCTCATAAAAAGAAATCAGATTTGTTTGACATCTTCTGTCTTTCATGCTGTCTGTTGCTTAAAATATTTTTTTCCAGCAACAACTCATCTATTTGGTTTTTATTAAGCTCTCCAGTATCTTCCCAACTATAGAAGTTAAACTAACAGGTCTATAATTACTTAGTAAAGATTTGACCCCTTCTTTTTAAATATAGGCACCACATTTGCCTTGCATCAATCCAGTGGTACTATGCCAGTCATTAAAGAGTCCCTAAAAATTAGAAACAATGGCTTTGAAATGACAGAGCTCAATTCTTTAAGGACCCATGGGTGTTTTGGCCCAGTTCACTCTGAACACATGTATATGCAGATTTACTGGATAAATGGCTGTACATGTTTTTAGAAATACATTTTTAGAGAGTGCCACACTGTTTGCAGACACACAACGGCTTATAGCCACCACTATGAGGAAAGACATTAAGAGCATGTTGGTAATGAGATGAAGCAGGAAAATGTAAACTACAAGGAAGTCAAAGCAAAGCTAATTCTCTGTTTTTTCTATGTTAATTCTATGTTTTTGGATACAGACCCAAGGAGTGTAAAATTAGATCACACCTCTGCTCCCAGCCTGCAGTACACAACAAAGGAAAATTACAACTGATTAGCAGCTATTTCAAGTAAAAATGTTGTTATTATTGCAAGGCCAAATACATTCCCTGACAGGCCTTAAACAGAATACAGAATTCACTGACAGGCTCATTTAATGTGCAGTTGATCTCCTGACCTGCATTAACAAGCTTCAAGCAAGCTTTGAATTCCCATAGACTTGTAAAGGAATACAAAGAATACTTGAAGTGAAGAAAAGTCAATCAACACATACCCTTTGTCAGGGCTCCAGGGTATGACCAGAGGTATGTGAACTGACGCAGGGAAACGCAGGCTTCAGATATGTTATAAACAATATAATTTATTAACACTAACAATACATAAACGCAGTGCAATACTAAAACATAACACAGTGCAAACGAACCAAACCAAACCACCCACAGATAACAATACATACAATGCAAGCGTCGTCAGGCAGGCCGGGTCAATAACAATCGGGCAGGTAGGAACAGGAGGAGCAGGCAGAGAGTAGTCAGGTCACGAGCCGGGTACAGCAACTAACGGGCAGGTAGGTACAGGGGGTCAGGCAGAGAGTGGTCGGGGTCACAAGCCAGGGATGAAACAGGAGAAGTCAGCAGAGGTCCGGATCAGGCAGGGTCAGCAACGAATCAGTCAGACAGGAACAGGAACAGGGATGCAGGTAACAAGATACAGGGCCCAGGAAAAAACACACACCAAATGCAGAGACTGCAGGTCTGGCCATCCCTTAAATACACCTGCATGATCAGCTTCAGGTGTTTGGCTGGCTGCAGGGTTGAGTCTCTGATTGCCGGGAGCACCCGCTGGCCAGCCCTGGTACTGCAGCCCACAAGGCAGGTGAGTCCCACCATTACTGGCAAGTCCATTCCTGACAGTACCCCCCCCTCAAGGAGCGGCCTCAGGACGCTCCAAACAGTCCTAGCTGGGCAAAATGTTCCACCGCCCGGGTCTGGTAACTGGCGGGATATCAAAGACTGGCACATCAGGCAGGACTCCGGGCAGCGGCACATCGGGCAGGACTCCGGGCAGCGGCACATCGGGCAGGACTCCGGGCAGCGGCACACCGGGCAGGACTCCGGGCAGCTGCACACCGGGCAGAGGCACATCAAGCTGGACTCCGGGCAGCGGCACATCGGGCAGGACTCCGGGCAGTGGCACACCGGGCAGGACTCCGGGCAGCGGCACATTGGGCAGGACTCCGGGCAGCGGCACATCGGGCAGGACTCTGGGCAGGACTCCGGGCAGAGGCACATCGAGCTGGACTCCGGGCAGGACTTCGGCAGAGGCACATCGAGCTGGACTCCGGGCAGAGGCACATCGAGCTGGACACCGGATCACCAGGCGGAGCAGCAGGCACCGGGCCACAAGGCGGAGCAGCGGGTGCCGGGCCCCCAGGCGGAGTGGCGGGCGCCGGGCTCCCCGGCGGAGCAGCAGGCACCAGGCCACAAGGCGGAGCGACAGGCACCAGGCCCCCAGGTGGGGTGACCGACACCGGGCCCCCCAGGTGGGGCGACAGACATCGGGCCCTCAGGCGGGGCGATGGGCATCGGGCCCCCAGGTAGAGAGGCGGGCGCGGGCCCCCAGGCGGGGCGCCGGGCCCCCAGGCGGGGCGACGGGCATCGGGCCCCCAGGCGGGGCGACGGGCATCGGGCCCCCAGGCGGGGCGACGGGCATCGGGCCCCCAGGCGGGGCGACGGGCATCGGCCCCAGGCGGGGCGACAGGCATCGGGCCCCCAGGCGGGGCGACAGGCATCGGGCCTCCAGGCGGGGCGACAGGCATCGGGCCCCCAGGGGGGCGACAGGCATCGGGCCCCCAGGTGGGGCGACAGGCATCGGGCCCCCAGGCGGGGCGGCAGACACCGGGCCCCCAGGCGGAGCGGCGAGCACCGGGTCATCAGGCACGACAACGGGCATCGGGTCACCAGGCATCAGGTCATTTGGCTCGCCAGTGGGCACCGCGTCATCTGGCAAGGCAATGGGCACCGAGTCACCAGGCACGACAGTGGGCTCCAAGTCAACTGGCATGATCGCGGGCACTGGGTCAGACATTGAATCGTCTGGCTGGACAGCGGGCATCGGGTCACCAGGCATCAGGTCATTTGGCTCGACAGCGGGCACCGCGTCATCTGGCAAGGCAGTGGGCACCGAGTCACCAGGCACGACAGTGGGCTCTGAGTTAATTGGCACGACAGCAGGCACCAGGTCATCAGGTACCGGATCGTCTGGCTCGACAGCAGGCACCGGGTCATCTGGCGCTGGATCGTCTGGCTCGACAGCGGGCATTGGGTCACCAGGCATGACCGCGGGTACTGGGTCTTCTGGCGCTGGATCGTCTGGCTCGACAGCGGGCATTGGGTCACCAGGCATGACAGCGGGCACTGGGTCATCAGGCATTGGATCATCTGGCTCGACAGCAGGCATCGGGTCACCAGGTATGACCGCGGGCACTGGGTCATCAGGCATTGGATTGTCTGGCTCGACAGCAGGCATCGGGTCACCAGGCATGACAGTGGGCACCGGGTCATCAGGTACCGGATCGTCTGGCTCGACAGCGGGCACTGGGTCATCAGGCATGATAGGATCATCAGGCTGGATCAGTTCATCAGGCTGGGTACAGACATCAGGCTGAAGTGCGGGTGCCGAGGCACCAGGCTGAACCACGGAAGGCAGGTTCTCAGACGGCAGGCTCACCGGTTTGGATACTGGCAGGATGGTACTGGTTGGAAAGAATTGCCGCTTTTTTCTGGTTTTAACTACTGGGGCACTGCATGTAAACGCAGGTCTGCAAACGAATGGAGCAGCTGAGGACAGAGAAGAGCTGGAAGATGGAACAGAGGAGGGAGCAGTTGCTACAGAGGACTTCTTTACAGGGTTAAAGAAAGGATACGTGCAGCGAGTGGGAGCAGAGGACTGGTATGTGGTAGTTAGAGTATACTGGGCAGTCACTGGGGGTGCTGTCGGGGATGCAGGAAGAGTGCCTTGAGTGGAGGAATGATGTTGTAAGCTGACTGAGGCTGGGTGCAACAAGTCTGACCATGTCTGCAGTATGGGTTGAACGAAGCTCAGTTTACACAAAGCCTGTCTGGTCAATGACTGCACTGCGTTTATACAATCTCTTAGTATATCTGTGGTGAACATGCAGAATAACGCTCCAGAAAGTAATCCACATCATCCTCTAATAACCATACCAGGGACTCTACCTGGTCGGCACTAAATGGCGGCAAAAATTCATCCCTGCATTCGGGGGTACCAGATGAAACCAACTCAGCACAAACCTGAATCAATGGCTGCACCTCAGAGAATTCTGTGCCCTGATCTACTAGAACATGAGCGATCCATATACATTCTAGCAGTTCATCTCTGGGATACTCCTTCAAGTCTGATAAGCATATTCTCTGTCATCAACACTAGCAGAGATAAATACACAACCTCATCCAGATCCATCCTTCCCAGCAACAAGCCAAGATCGCTTCCCTGTGCAGCCACTTCTGGTCAGGATTGGCCTTGGTGTAATGTCAGGGCTCCAGGGTATGACCAGAGGTATGTGAACTGACGCAGGGAAACGCAGGCTTCAGATATGTTATAAACAATATAATTTATTAACACCAACAATACATAAACGCAGTGCAATACTAAAACATAAACACAGTGCACACGAACCAAACCAAACCACCCACAGATAACAATACATACAATGCAAGCGTCGTCAGGCAGGCCGGGTCAATAACAATCGGGCAGGTAAGAACAGGAGGAGCAGGCAGAGAGTAGTCAGGTCACGAGCCGGGTACAGCAACTAACGGGCAGGTAGGTACAGGGGGTCAGGCAGAGAGTGGTCGGGGTCACAAGCCAGGGATGAAACAGGAGAAGTCAGCAGAGGTCCGGATCAGGCAGGGTCAGCAAAGAATCAGTCAGACAGGAACAGGAACAGGGATGCAGGTAACAAGATACAGGGCCCAGGAAAAACACACACCAAGGCAGAGACTGCAGGTCTGGCCATCCCTTAAATACACCTGCATGATCAGCTTCAGGTGTTTGGCTGGCTGCAGGGTTGAGTCTCTGATTGCCGGGAGCACCCGCTGGCCAGCCCTGGTACTGCAGCCCACAAGGCAGGTGAGTCCCACCATTACTGGCAAGTCCATTCCTGACACCCTTTCAGTTTACAAAATATTAACAATAACCTTAAAGGATAATTCCATTTTTGTTGAGGAAAAAAACAATCCCCTCTTGGTGATCAGTGTGTACTGCAAGGATTTGTAAAGGCTTTGCTGCGCATTCCTACTTGGTTCTGCTGGAAAGGAATAGCTCTTTGTTAGACCATGTTCCCTGCATAGTGGTTCTGAAAGAGAGTGACTAAATCATTTTAATCAGCTTATGCATTTTCAGTGCTCTGATCAGAAAAGTAGCAGTGTCTGCATCCCTTTAGAAGTGATTAACCTTAGGGGAGTAGCTCTTCACAAATCACATTTTTGTTGCAGAGGATGCCTAAAGCTCAAATTTGTATCGTAGTGTAGAGTTCTTCACCAAAGCAAGAAATGACATATTTGGAGGTGTTTGGAGATGACTTCAGGTTGCCATATTGTATTGAATTTTACAGAAAATTACAGTGCTGCAATTTTAAAAGAAAAGGTAATTTTTAATCACATTAAATTACAATATGAATTGTGTATCACTTGTATATACAGTATTCATTGCTTTTTATTTGTTGTACTTTTTTCTAGGAAAGTGGAATTACCATTTAAAAGACTTATTTAATTCCTCCGTGTTTGTCCTATTTGGAGCATGTTTTAATTTTCGATCCAAACAGGTAATTCCAGATAACTTATATTTATTTGGTGTTCTAAGCGATTGTCACTGGGAAAAAAAAAAAAAATACCTGTAGTTGCCAAAGCAGTATTCTACAAGCCTGATCTACTAAAATGTGTAGTAAAGGGCAGTAAAGTGAACCTATGCTGGCTAAAACAACAAATAACAGAAAATATATTCATTTGTTTATTTCCCAGCATATAGATGTTGGATGTTAATAGCCTCTTCACTTCACATAAGGTCCTAGTCAGCTAATAATAGAATGGATCTTTATCAATTTAGTATAAGCCTTTGAATCCTTATACTTCTCCTGGATGTAAATTGCGCCAGCACATGTTTTGTTAAATTTTGGGTCAATTGAGGAGACATCAACCATTATATATGTCAAGGCATCAGCAAGTACAACCCTGCTTTGAAGAGGAGAACACAAGACATTTTGGAGGAAATCCACCTAGTAATGGTAGGCCCCTCACAAACACTGCATAAGCAAACACATAGAATAAATGCAAAATCCACGCTACGGGTAAAATGACACTCTGGGCAATCCATTCCACATGGGGATCAAAATGAACAGATTTTCTAGTTTGTCCGTAATGACCACTGAAGGTCTCCACCAATATGGACTGCCGCTGTAAGCATTAAAGCTTTGCTGCCTTTTTTGATTCAGGGAAATCTAGTTCTAAAAACAAACAAACAAGAGAAGGAGGTGCACCAGCCTAGTGCATTACTGTAAGACTCTTTTATGGATAAAATAAATTATTCCAATATACTCAGAAAAGTAAAAATGTCCCATGCATGTAACAAAGTCTATCACACCACCAGAATGTGCATAGCTTACGCATTTCAAGGGCGATGCCCTCTTTTTCGGAGCTCGGGACATCTTTACTTTTGTTAATATATTGGAATAATTTATTTTATTCATTAGGAAGCCTTACAAGTAATGGCCTCAGCTGGTGCACCTCCTTCTTTTGCTTGTTTTCAGTACTGCATAATCAAACACAAAGGCTGGGATTATCCTTTAAAATGTTTGGTTGTAGTATATTGTATGTGTATGTTTGGCCCTTTTGAAAATGAGAAAACAGCTTGGAATCATGTCTAGAAACTTCAACTTTATAAATACTATGGTGTCCTTTTATCATGCAGTGGTAAATGACCGCTGCTCAGTTTTCTGGCATTCTCAGAGGAGAGAGTTCTCATCTGAATGCCTTTTTATGAAGCGGTGTGGATCTCTTCTCCAAATGAAGAGAGAAGTGATCTACATACGCTTTGAATGCTAGAAAATGGCTGCTGTTACTGTAATCTCACAAGATTACAGTAAGAGATCAGTCAAATACTGTTTACTAAGCAGCGGTAAATTACTGCTGCTTCGTTTGCGGTTCCCCCGATTCTCCACCTCTGGGCTGGAGAATCTGGAGGGAGAACACAGATCATCAGTGAAGGGCTGACATCACTCCTTCATACATTGGCAGCCTGTGTGCTGAGATGATCAGTGAAGAACATGTTCTCCGCTGATCATCTCTGCCTCCTAAACCACTAATGATCTGAGATCAGCAACGGTCCTTAGGATCGCCGCTGATCTCTGTTTCATAAAAGGACACCTAATGCAGAAAAATTGAGATCTGGAAAAATAGACCAAAAGATAACTAAACTTATGCACCTGCCATAGCTTTGTTTTTTTGCTAGGCTTGGTCAGCTTATATGTGAGCGCACATCTCATACATTTACATATCATGGCAAATTACTTCTGGGAGTTTGTGAGATATACATCTTTATGTAGAGTGATCACCCTGCATCCTATTTAAACAAACTAAGGTCCTGAAAAGTCTCCTTTGTCATTGTTAGCCCTTGCATATTTATAGTGTACTTATTTAAATGAATGCTGAGCTGCACAGTAAACAAATAGGCTAACTATGGGCTTTGTACAAGGAGGGAAAAATAAAGGTATCAGAATTTGGCTCAGAAAGTAAACCTTCTCTTTAAAGGGACTGTAAAACACTTTTGTAAGTATTTTATTTTTCAAAGTCAGAATTAAAAAAATAAATATATATATATATATATATATATATATATATCAAGAAAATTAAAGGAACACTTTGAAAAAACATCAGATCTCAATGGGGAAGAATATCATGCTGGATATCTATATTGATATGGACTGGATATTGTGTTAGGAATGTAAGGATGCCCCATTGTTTGATGGAAATGAAAATTACCAACTTACAGAGGACTGAATTCAAAGACACCCCAAAAATCAAAGTGAAAAAATTATTGCAGCAGGCTTGTCCATTTCAAAACTCAAAATGGTACTCAGTGGTTTGCATGGCACCCACGTGCTTGTATGTATGCCTGACAATGTAGTGGAGCATTCTCCTAATGAGACAACGAATGGTGTCCTGGGGTATTTCCTCCCAGATCTGGACCGGGGCATCACTGAGCTCCTGGACAGTCTGAGGTGCAACCTGGTGGCGTTGAATGGTCTGAAACATGATATCCCAGTGATGTTCTATTGCATTTAGGTCAGGCGAGTGGGGGGGGCCATTCAATGGTATCAATTCCTTCATCCTCCAGGAACTGCCTGAATACTCTCGCTACATGAGGCCAGACATTGTTGTGCACCAGGAGGGACCCAGGACCCACTGCACCAGCGTAGGGTCTGACAATGGGTTCAAGGATTTCATCCTGATACCTATGGCAGTCAGGGTATCATTGTCTAGCCTGTACAGGTCTGTGCATCCCTCCATGGATATTCCTCCCCAGACCATCACTGACCCACCACCATAATGGTCATGCTGAATGATGTTACAGGCAGCATAACATTTGCCATGGCTTCTCCAGACCCTTTCACGTCTGTCATATGTGCTCAGGGTGAACCTGCTCTCATCTGTGAAAAGCACAGGGCGCCAGTGGCGGACCTACCAATTCTGGTGTACAATGGCAAATGACAATTTGAGCTCTGGTGCTGGGCAGTGAGCGCAGGGCCCACTAGAGGAAGTCGGGCCCTAAGGCCACCCTCATGAAGTCTGTCTCTGAGTGTTTGGTCAGAGACATTCACACCAGTGGTCTGCTGGAGGTCATTTTTTAGGGCTCTGACAGTGCTCATCCTGTTCCTCCTTGCACAAAGGAGCAGATAACGGTCCTGCTGATGGGTTACAGACATTCTACAGTCCTGTGCAGCTCTCCTAGAGTAACTGCCTGTATTCTGGAATCTCCTGCATGCTCTTGAAACTGTGCTGGGACACAGCAATGCAAATGGCAAAGTCACGTATTGATGTGCCATTCTGGAGGAGCTGGACTGCCTGTGCAGCCTCTGTAGGGTCCAGGTATCGCCTCATGATACCAG